GTTCTATGAGATTTGCACCACACGTCTTCACACAACCAGTGAACAATCGAAACTCTCCGAGGCTGTGAATTAAAAAAAAAAGAACCCAGAGATCAATTACGGAATACGGACTGGTGATAGATAACAGTTGACGGAAATGCGGCGAGAAACATCACTTATTTTTGGAGCCCGGCTGCGAGGCCAGCCGCGGCAACCATGGGCCGCGGGTCCGGCCGTAAATTTGTCCGAGACGTCGGGAAACACAATTATTTTCGGACTATAGTTATAGGCAAAATTATGACGAAGAGCAAAATATATACGGTATAATTTAAGTAAAGAGACGAGTGAGTACTTCTATCATGTACTAACCACTCCAAGTTTAATCGCGTTTTACATATACAATTATTTTTGAAATTATTTGCTTGTTTAACCTGAGAAATTCCGTCATATGTTGTACATTCCTTACCTTTTAAACTTAGAAGACATGTTTTTTGTCCCTACTACTAGTAGATTATGTAGGTGCAACAAATTATGTATAAAACGAAATTAAAATGAATGTCAGGAATATTTCAAATAGTTTAGGTGTTAATTTGACACAGGGAGTATAACTTACTACACCAAGGTTGTAGATGATAAGACAATAAAATATACTAGAATATAAATTTATAGGTAAATAAAATGTATAAAAAAAATTTTTAAAGACCACGTTTTTCATGTGGACTCAAAAGTAGAAAATAATTTTTCGGCAGCTACTGATCTCTGTTTGTTTTCATTCTCTTGCCCTTGGTCTTTTGTATTTCAGTTAAAATATTTTACAACATCTACAACGAAAAACGTGGGGCGCATATGTATTTAATTGCTCGTTGATTACTTGATATGATGAATATGATGGTACATTGAACATTTGATAAGTGTATTGCTGATATAATTAGAAATAGTGGTTGAATTCAAAATTGAAATTAAAGATGTAGGCTTAGGAACTTACTTTCGACCGTCGTCGACCGCAGCTCGAACCGGACCCCCCTGTGAATTCGACAAAAAAAAAACAACCCAGAGATCAATTACGGAATACGGACTGGTGATAGATAACAGTTGACGGAAATGCGGCGGGAAACATCACTGATTTTTGAGGACTATAGTTATAGGCAAAATTATGATGAAGAGCAAAATATATACGGTATAATTTAAAGTATTAATGTCACTTATTTGCTTAAATCGCAAGTTGACTAAAAATTTAAAAGCAAAGAATAGTCCACAAAAATTCATATCTTTATAGACACTCCAAGTTTAATCGCGTTTTACATATACAATTATTTTTGAAATTATTTGCTTGTTTAACCTGAGAAATTCCGTCATATGTTGTACATTCCTTACCTTTTAAACTTAGAAGACATGTTTTTTGTCCCTACTACTAGTAGATTATGTAGGTGCAACAAATTATGTATAAAACGAAATTAAAATGAATGTCAGGAATATTTCAAATAGTTTAGGTGTTAATTTGACACAGGGAGTATAACTTACTACACCAAGGTTGTAGATGATAAGACAATAAAATATACTAGAATATAAATTTATAGGTGACAATATAAGTGAGGATATAGAATTTCCTGGTCCAGCGTCTCGCTTGAAGCACGGTGGTACATTAATTTCCTTACAACCGAATCGAGATTTTTTAGCTACGTTCTACGCATGGTTGAATTTTGTAATACAACCATGCGTTCTACGTATTATCTTCGACAGAATATTCGTATAAGGTATAACGTACCAAGATGTTGTCCCAGGAAATAAAAAATCACCAATTTGAAAGTCTTTTTATCCTTCATACTGTAATCGTGAATTTTTTCATCCTGAATACCATCATCCAAATACCGCATTCAATTAATACTTTCGATGCTAAAGAAATTTTCTAAAGGGGTGCCTCATTTCCATTAAAATTGGGCATGGAACTCTCGGTTACCGTCCAGCTTGTAATTCGAATCAAATCAAATGTATTTGAGTTTTCAAACACTCAAACTTTGACAAATATATCTGTAGATTGTCACTGAATTGCAATTCATTCATTTGAATAAGCTTAGTGAATATTTAGTCTACGGAATCAAGACGTAACATTTACTTTATTTGCGACAAATTCTTATATCCATATTTTGACCCACTGTCCTTAAAATATTTGAATTGTCTGTAGTTGTAAATGGCAAAAAGGTATAGAACTATTTTTGTATTGAGAGAGTATATTTTGATCTAATATAATATTCGGCACCACGCGGCGGTTAAATTTACTACCCGAAATAAAGAGCGATAGAGACACCTCTTTTGGCAGCACCAGGTCGTTCGTCTGCTTCAATCGCTCTCGAAAAAGAGCGAAGTTTGCTACAGGAAGTTACTGCCCTTGTCGTCTTACCGCCATTTTTATTAACACAATTAATTTCGTAATATCGTAGAAAAACTATTAAGATATGTTCTTTATATCTAATAATCTAAATCTAAACTTTGCCAAAGAAGAATATGAAGAGTAACCATTCACTGATGTATGATTTGAACGAAACAATTAGGGAATTATTTCCATTTCAGATCAGAAATTTTGTTATTGATTTAGAAGAAAAATGAATCATATCGGTAACCTATAGCGATATAAAGCTATAATATTCATGCATTAAAACTTAGATGCACCACTTCATTTTCCGCCTCACAAAACAGTCTAAGCTTATAAGCTGAACAAAAATTCAACGTTATTTAAAGCAAAAAATTTAAACGTATTTATTTTAAATCGAGTGCATGGCAATGAAATGTGAAGACATTCTCTTGCTTGATAATGGCCGGTCTGAAGGAAAAGTAAAAAATAAACATGGCTCTGTGAATTGCCGCTTTAAAAGCTGCAACAATTTGTGAAGATGTAAAATAAAAAAAAAAACAGGCTAAAAAAAATGTTGAGGCTACTGTAATATACGAGAAATGTTCCTTTGAAAGTCCCGGTCTGAGAGTGATGCAAGCCTCTCTTGGAGGTGCTGGTCCCGAAATAGCAGACGGCGGTGGTGGCACTGGTGCACTTGGCACTCAGCTGGCATCGCCTCCTCTTTACCTCGGGCCGGTGCCGCGGTAGCTTCGCTCCTCTCCCTGCGATCGCATTTCAGGAAGTTCGTATTTTTCTTTCTAAAATTCACGTAATTTTTTGTATATTTTGTGGGCTAGAACAGGTGACAATGCTTTAGGAAGATGGTGAACTTTGATGTAGTTGGACTTTTTCTGATTAAAATATTAACCTATTCAAACTAAAACTGCCATTGCAGCGAAATGAAATCGCTATCAAGGTGATTCGTTGCATGCGTGAACTTCTATGCAGATAACTAGAATATGGAACCTATTGTGTAAACCTGCATAATACGCGTTATTTTTTACTGTATTTTCATATGAAAGACACAATGTGATTTAAATAATGTCTCAAATGTTTTGGGAACATTTTGCTTGCAATGGGCCGGCACCTGTAATATGGTGATGGTGAAGAAGGTGGTGATCTCGTGCCCAGACCGGCATTGATTTTCAGGAAGGCATCTGGCAGCCTCGCGCCCAGGCGACATGCCTGATTTAGACTATTTCCTTGATTTAGTTAATTGATTATTTAATACATCGAAAAAAATGCAAACTCCCAAACGCCTCAAGTGTGTTGCGTGTTAACCCCGGAAATTGTATTAAAAGTTTAGATTAAAGAGGCTTCATAGAACAGTTTTCGAGTTTTGCAGAAAACACGTGGGCACGTTGCCGGTTAGCATAGGATAATGCAAAATTGCGCACAAAATTAAAAATATTGACTGATATGTACTAAAGAAAAACTTTTCGTCTATTGCAAGAAGCAAGTGGGGACGTTGCCGTTTTTTTAGAGATCTCATGAAATCACGTATAAAATTTTCGTCTAAGATGGATTGAACAGACATCCAAGATGGATGACCGTTAGATAAGGCGTAAAAAAGATTGTGCGTGATTTATTATTTGAATTACGATGGAAATGAATAACATTTTTTGACCTGTGGAAAAAGTCACGTTTTCGGTTAGTTAAGGATTGTGGCAAGCATTTATCAAACGATAAACAGTGATAATAAGAAAATTCTAAGTCAGTTTCATTTACATTCGGAGTTCTAACTAAAGTTCAGTTCCATCAGTTCTATAAAGCGTTTTTGTTTGTTTCAGCTTCGTTTAACCAAATATGTCCGGCGGTAGTAATTTATACACTAATTTAGGCAGCGGGAAAGTAATTTACAAGAGTTGTCTTCGTAACCTAGTTCCTAATAAATGCATATTATTTTTGTTAGAGGATATTTTTAGTTAGCTTAAATCGCAAGTTAACCGAGAATTGCATGATAAAGAAAACGTCAAAATTGACCACATCTCTACCGGAAATATTCGAATTTTCTTTTGAATCCCTTTCGTGTTGAAATGGCTTTTCTCGATTGATTGTACCTGCAATCTTTAGGATTTTGAACTGAACGGAGGTGCTCACTTGTCCCAAACATTTTCGATGAAGATATGGTGCTTTATGTTACTTTGCACTTTCTTTTTAGTTAAATCCTTTGATGACCTTTTAGCATTACGATCTTAGATCACTGGAGTCTTTATTTATTCAAGCCAATTTTTCGCAGATCAAGTAAAAAACACCAAAAATGGGCAAGGAAAAGATCCATATCTCCATCGTCGTGGTGGGTCACGTAGACTCCGGTAAGTCCACCACCACCGGCCATCTTATCTACAAGTGCGGTGGCATCGACAAACGTACCATCGAGAAGTTCGAGAAGGAAGCCACTGAAATGGGCAAGGGTTCCTTCAAGTACGCCTGGGTACTGGACAAGCTCAAGGCTGAGCGTGAGCGTGGTATCACCATTGATATCGCCTTGTGGAAGTTTGAGACCACGAAGTTCATGGTCACCATCATTGATGCCCCCGGCCATCGTGATTTCATCAAGAACATGATCACGGGAACCTCCCAGGCTGATTGCGCCGTGCTGATCGTGGCTGCTGGTACTGGTGAATTCGAAGCTGGCATCTCGAAGAACGGACAAACTCGCGAGCACGTGCTGCTGTGCTTCACCCTCGGTGTCAAACAGATGATCGTAGCCGTGAACAAGATGGACAGCACTGAGCCCAAGTACTCAGAAGAAAGGTTCAAGGAAATCCACAAGGAAGTCTCTGCCTACGTTAAGAAAGTTGGTTATAATCCTGCCATTGTTCCAATTCTTCCAATTTCCGGATTCAACGGCGACAACATGCTTGAGAGGTCCGACAAGATGCCCTGGTGGAAGAAGCAGAAGATCGAACGCAAGAGCGGCGCCTACGAGTTCGAGACTCTCTTCGATGTTCTGGATAACATCGAGCCTCCCACTCGTCCCACCGATAAGGCCCTCAGGCTTCCCCTGCAGGTTGGTGGTCATAGTTGTTAATCAACAAATTGCCAGATTGAATTGAATCAATTTTGCCAAATTGAAGAAAAATCATTGTGGTTTCGCTAAATTCCTTAGCTATTACTTTTTTGGAGTTTAGTGATTTTTTAACGGATTCCGGCTTTATGTTCATCCAAAAGAGAACACCGTTCGCCGACGTTGATGGAATTGAAAGAACCTTGCTACGATAAAGTACTTGTTCGTGGCTTGCTATGGTTTACTTATCCTTCATCTACTTTTTTAACGAACCAAGGTTCAAATAAATGCAAAGATTGAGGGCCAATTCATGCCTAAAATTCGCCAGGGAACTCGTGGTATCGTCAAGCGAAAATTAAGTTTGAAAAGAATTCTACTCGCGACTCATTTAAAAGACGAGATGTAATACTTGTTTCCCTTTTCAGGACGTCTACAAGATTGGTGGCATTGGCACGGTTCCCGTGGGCCGTGTTGAAACTGGAACTTTGAAGCCTGGTATGGTGGTCACCTTCGCCCCAACTGGTCTTACCACTGAAGTCAAATCAGTTGAAATGCATCACGAGGCTCTCGTCGAAGCTACACCAGGTGACAATGTTGGCTTCAACGTCAAGAACGTGCCTGTCAAGGACTTGAAGCGCGGCTTTGTAACATCGGACTCCAAAAATGACGCAGCTAAGGCAGCGCAAGACTTCGTGGCCCAGGTGATTGTGTTGAACCATCCCGGTCAGATCCAAGCCGGCTACTCGCCTGTGGTTGATTGTCACACCGCTCACATTGCGTGCAAGTTTGCAGAGCTCGTCACCAAGATCGACAGGCGTACCGGCAAAGAAATCGAGTCAAACCCCAAGGCCGTCAAGTCTGGGGACTCGTGCATCGTAAAAATGGTTCCCAGCAAGCCCATGTGCGTAGAGTCGTTCCAGCAGTACCCACCCCTCGGTCGCTTCGCCGTGCGCGACATGAAGCAAACTGTCGCCGTCGGTGTCATCAAGGAGGTCAACAAGAAAGAGGCGTCTGGCGGTAAGACCACGAAGGCTGCCGAGAAAGCGCTCAAGAAGAAGTAACTAGTTGCTGAAGGCCAATCAAAGAGCCCTCTTTCTTATCACTTCCAAATGCAGCCTCGTTTTATTATACTACGAACCTTGCATAGGAAGTTCGTTAGAAGGAAAAACTGGCTGGCTTCTTCTGAGCGTCACCGAGCGATTTGTTGTGGTGTGCATCCTAGTTTCTTCACTGGCTATTATATTTGTCAACATCAGGGCTCACTAAGATTTAATAGGTTCAAGCCTAGCAATGCTGTCTCGTCATAAAATGAAACTTTAGATGCATTTATTTGTCTATCGACATGATCTTTGTCGGATATGAAAGTAGTTGGTTGGATTCATCCCAATTTGTGCTTGGTTTTGCAAGTTTTCTACGTTAAATATCGCTAACAAGTTTGCATAGTATTAATTTAGATTAACGAGTGACAGTTTACATAATTTGCGTTGAATTCCTGTAAATTCATCAGCTGATCAATAAATGCTTCCCCTCGGCGGTCGCTCTAGAAGTGAAATTGTGTTTCATTCAACAACTTCAACTTGAAATTCTAGAAATAATTCTTCAAGTTCGCGAGGATTTTGTGGATAGCGTGATTAGAATTCTACAGCCGGGATGAAGTTCAAACAGCAACAAATTGCTGTGAAAATTTTGTGTGGAGCTTTCAAAGCCAATAAAAAATTTGAAAGCATATTTCTCGACTCACTCTTGCTGTGCGTGAGGGCCGCACAATCACAAACTCGTGCCAAGTTTTGTTGAGCTGGAAAGGAAACTAAATCATTTAGGCATCACATTTATTAAACATCGACTACACAAACAAGACATGTCACTTAATATACGTACACCAATCATAGCAATCAAAATAAATTTTCAAAAACGATCGAGCTGGAAAAACTAAGCATAAACATTAGGTAACACATGATAACTTAATATACCGACACCTCAAAATCGTTCGACGTATAACTAGAAATAACGTTTCTTCAATTCTTATTGAAGGAATCAAAGCTGACATGAATTCACTAGTCACTTTCCAAGGCCTAAATAAATTCAAGGTATTTAGGAGTGACATATCTGGAGGCGAGCGCAAACTGGACCTCTTCCTCATACAAACCGCATTTATACGAGTACAAGTATATTTTTATACATCCATATAATGCACACTTAATTATATAAAATACGCACCAACTGTGAAGAATATGACGCTAGTCTGAACAACTTTCTAGCGCAGGAGCAGGCGCACTAGCGTATGATTCATTCTAAAGTTGATACTAAGTTCATCATCAATATTGAAAATACATTAAAAAGTGACGCTTATAACTGGTCTAGGTGTCGTTTTCTGATCGGTTGGAGAGCTATTCACTGACAAAAAGTTAAGGAAAAACTATTTATCAGGTTAGCATGTACATGTAGTTTGGCTGTCGTCTAATGTGTTTCATACAATAACGCCTCCGTCGCGCACATTTCCATTAAATAATTGATCCAAAAAAGTTTCATTGTGCAATCATGACATTTCTTATGAACGAAATCAGCCAAGTTATATCGATCATTAAGTGTAAATTATTAGAAATCAATGGTACCACAAAAACATAACATTACGATAGCTACTTCACAATGTAGTTCACATACGTGCTAACGATTCTAAATTCAATTTTATGAGTTGAAGGAATGACTTGTGCACTGTGGAATGAACAACGTGTGAAGAGACGCGCCGTTTGCAGAGGCGAGTCACTCGCCACGATCAGAGGCCGTATTATCAAAATAGTTACGAGTTCGTAACTGCGGCAACCAATCACTGATGCCTTCTAAGTTAAACACACCAATCACAGACGAGAAAATCAACCGCTACATGTACCCAAGCCGCTACGTGTATTAGGCCGTTACGTGTACGTAGGCCGCAACGTGTACTCAAGATAGTTTTGATTATACGGCCCCTGGTCGTTGGCCGGATAAATAAGTTATCTAATGTACAGTGTCGCTTCAAGTTCAAACCGAATGAACGGCCCCACGGTCGATGATTTTCATCAACAGGCCGAGCAATTGAGTAACAAATAAAACAGGAAATGTTCAATGAAGAAACTTGTACGTTACGACAATATGAGCAATAAGTAAATAAATACAGAAATATTAATTTTACATGAGCAATACTTCAAAAAAACATAAGCACCTTCAAGTGCTGAAATAAAAGGACTAGTGTGATCCGTATCAATAGAAAGTAATCGCTATAAATAATTACAGGGCTATTTGTACACGGCCCATAGGATAGTAACAGATATCTACACTTCCTTAAGGGGGCCAAAAGCTGCCAGGTGCACAGGTAAAATAGCTATATGCGGAAATAAAGGTTAGAAGGCAACCACTTCAAATCTCGAATTATCGCCTGAGCGCAGTAAGCTATAAAAACGCTGTTCTAATTCACTCATCAATAACGGACTTGAATGTCTGTACTTCAGTCATGAAACACGCCTCTTTGAGAATAATCGACCAACATGCATTCCAAGTTTATCAGTAATCTAAATTCAAATACAATAATCAAGAGGAATTTCATTGTCTCGAGGTATGGAACAAAGCCAAAGGACTGCATCATCAACCTCCGTCACCAATCATGAAACTCCAGATGTCTGATGTATACCACCCCAACATGTGCATAAAGAAAGTTTTTTTTTTGTGCTGGCGTTTAGTGGAAATAATTTTGCCAACTTAAACAAGTAAGCTAACTTAGGATAACCACATGATAATAATCACGAATAATGACAACAACTACGCACTATGTATATCGGATACAACGGAAGATATTTCTTAGCTACGAGTCTACTAAACATCGTAACGCGCTTAACAGGTTTATTGCTAAGGGAAGTTAGTATCACAAAAGGTTTTCAATGTTACACATACAGTTAGCCCACACAGAGTAATAACACACAGTGAATACCTGTGAACGAAAATAAAACATTGAGACCCATAATGAACGACATTCAGACATGGAACAGAGCAGCCCAAGTAATGTGAAAAACAATGATAATTATAATGAGACATCAACATTAAATAAATCTACGACCGTTTTAGAACGTAGGTAACTACAATTTTAATACATAAACATAGACAATAAATATAATTTCCAATGGGGAAGGGTTAACTATTTTTACTTATGGTATCCGCGAGTTATATACCTACAAAATTATAGCTTACACTCGGAGAGGGAATAAGATATCGATTCTTGTAAGAGCTACGGTACTCAACTTGGGTGCCTATTCAAATATTTTCAAGTAAAAAGTGATACATTACAAAATAAATATCAATCTACAACACCTAATCGTGGTCAATCTAATCTAATTGATGACCGTAACACTACAAGAATACCAGGACAAAATCCGTCGCCGTGAATGCCTTTTTATTAACAATCTCTTAGCAGTCGTCCCGTAGAACGCAACACTCGTGGTGGCTGCTGCAAGGGCACCGACAAGAATCAACACTTGCACCGGTAAAAATAATACCCATAAAAAATGTGTAAATTAGAGGGCCTAACGAACACGCATACATCATACAAGTCCGGAATAGATAGTATAATTTGGCCACCAGAAGAAGGCGGATTCCTACAGTAAAATATGCCCAATAGGTGAAATTTCATGGAATGAAATAGTAAGAATAAGATGAACAAAATTAAATGGTTGAGTTACGTACCTATACTGTCTTCGATCAAACACAGAAAAATGATCCTATTTACATTTTTTTTCATTAGAAACTGTGTGCCTACTCTAAAGTTAAAAATAATCTAGGGAGCAAAGAAAACACACATCAAATTACCAACGAATTAAACCCGTGAACCGTCATTCTCAACTCGAACTAGCAAGGAACACACGATCCTACTTTTGGAAAAGTATAAGAAGCGTCTACATCAAATTTTTAACTGGAATAATAAACAATTTCATTCAAAATAGGTTATGCTCTTAAAATTAGCCATATATATAAAAAAACAGTTTAAAATGGGTTGAGATGAAGAGCTTTGGGACACAAAAAATACAGTGGAAATATGATGAATATTCAGTATTATAACGAAGAACATAGTAAATCCAAAGTAAAAAGGCTGGCCGCATGAGGTCATGACATTTGTAATGGTCATGAGTTAAGGGAGGGTCGTAGATCTCGATATTCAGGAGAGTATTAATTAAAGACATCAGGTTTAAAAAGGGTCTAGAAGCATGCAGATCACATATTGTAGATTCTCGCTTAGGTCTAGATAGGTCTAGGAGCATGCAGCCCATAGACGTTGCCATCTATGGCGGGATGATGGTTGGTGTGGGGCGGCCCCCAGTCATGCAGGCCAGGTGAATGTGACGGGCGATGCGTGAGGCGGTGAGCGATGCTGAAGCCACCGCCGCTCTCCAGCTGCGTCAGCACGATGATCACTTGCCTACAAAAAGTCATATATTATTTGATAAATTATTTATAATTACAGGGGCTGGACAAAAAAAGGGAGCCACCTAACATTTTTGGGAAACACGTGATATTTTTGTTATTAACAATGAAAACTTGACATATTTTTATGCTTTATTATTTTTGTGCTGCTAATTTATATTTTATCCGTGCACAGAGAACTTTAGTAAATTTTTGTGTCCATAACCTAACCTATAACCTATAAATGGCAAACCTCTCTGTCTTTTAAAGTAGTCAAATTGCTGGTGCCCGTATGGCAGGTGCTAGTATGACAGAAACTTCCCGAATGCTTGACGTTTAGAGTTACCTGCTGTCTCAAAAGTAATGACTATTTTTGAAAGAGAAGGAAAAATGTTCTTAGCAAAGCACAGGTCTGGCCGAAAGTCGAAGGTGTCTGAGAGAGACCGTGGGTACCTAAATCTAATTTTGAGGGACAATTGAAAGACCACGGCTGTTAAAGTTACTGCAGACCTCAATGGACACATACTGGACCCAGTTTCCATGAAGACTGTCCGCCGAGAGCTGCATAGATCTTGATTTTATGAATGAGCTGCAATTAGAAAACCTCTGGTTTCCAATTCAAATGCTTCAAAGCATTTCGAGTTATGTAAAAATCTTCAGAATCGGTCCCTCGAGCAGTAGAAAAATGTGATTTGCTCTGGCGAATCATCGTTTACCTTATTTCCAACCTCATGCCAAGTTACGTTTGGAGACAGCTGAAATAGTCTTTTGATCTCGACTGCCTCCTTCCAACCGTAAAACATGGCGGGGGATCTGTGATGATCTGGGGTGCTATTTCTTGGAAATACGGAGGACCCAATATTTTTTATAAAAGAATTAACAGCCGCGAATATTTAGGAATCTATACATAGGACAAAGTTCATACAATGATTCAGGCACAGTTTCTAAGTGGAAAGCAATCTTTCAAGATGACAATGCCCCGATATTTAAAGCTGGAATTGTTAAAACTGGCACGAGGAACATTCTAATGAAGTTGAGCTTCACATTTGGCTTTGGCCACCACAATCACCAGACCTGAATATTATCGAGCATTTATGATCGATTTTAGAGATGCAAGTCAGTAGTCGATTCCCGCCGCCATCGTCTTTAAAAGCGTTGGAGGGAGTTTTAACTGAAGAATGGGTTAAAATTCCTTTGGAAACAATTCATAATGAATCAATACCTCAGAGAATTGAGGCTGCAATTGCCGTAAAAGGTGGACTAAACCATACTAAAATATATATATTTTTTTAGATTTCGCAGGTGTTTCCTTTACTATGTCTCATCATTATTATGTCTACATCATGTCTCAAACAAACCTCATCTCGCTTACAAATTATGAAGACTAACATACTGGAAATATTTACGACACGCCATACACCAATACTTGCCAATTTACAAGTTTCTTTGATACATAGCTACATACACAACAAGAATTTGTCTCTCAATCCTTATGTTGATACCTACAGCATTTACATTGTCATAATACGATAAATGTTATCCCTCGACTTCAACCGAGAAATCTCAGAAGTAAGAAACCACACGATCGTAAAAAGTGCATAGGTTTTTAGACAAAAACCCATTGATTTCTCAGAGTGCAAGAATAATGCGGTACCTGTGTAATGGTGGCACCGAATCCACGGTGCGCAGCTCGGCACGCGTGGAGACGACGTTGTAGCTCTCATGGCAGTCACATATGACGAGAATGCACATGTCGGGGTGGCGGTTCTCCACAACCACCACGAGCCCGGCCCATCCCTGCATGCAATAATAAGAATATTTAGCACAGGACCCGCCTGCTGGTCGACCAAAATCACGCTGGACTATGAGCATAAACTTCACACATGACGTATCAGAATTGATGTCACCGATTTGCTTATATCGCAAGTTAACTAAAAATTTGAAAGTAAAGAATTTATTTTAAACTTAGGGCCAGTTAAAATTCAGCTGTTAGCTCCTATCCCCTTGAAATTGTGAATAGTTAGGTTTTGTGCCCTATTACTTGTAAATTTAGGTTTTTAATTGTGTTCTGTGCTTTCAATTGTACTAATTTGTGACTTTCTATACGAATTCTAGATTCTACGAACTGACGATGGAGCTGGACTCCGAAACGTTGTCTATAAAGATATGAATTTTAGTGGACTATTCTTTGCTTTTAAATTTTTAGTTAACGACGCATCAGATTTCGTAACGTAATAAATCAACAGCCCAGTTAAAAATAATCTGAAAAGTTTACCACGCTCATACGATGAGATTTGAGACAGATATGCAACTACATTGTAACAGTAACTCCTTCATGCAATATCCACAGGTATATGTCCACCACTTCTGATTTTATTATAAGATGGCAGAATTTGTTTGTTAACAAGTTTGTTTGAAGAGCAAAGAATTTTTGCACAAAGACCATTGTCGGCAATTTTTCTTTACTGTGTTAAACATCTGGGTTTATAAAGATCATCCGTGCCTATGTGAATGAAAGTTTTTCCAACTCACGGAAAAAGTTGCGAAGTTTGCATTGATATCTTTTCCTACCAATTATTTCGAAATTCAACACGAGAACTGTAGGTAACTTTCGAGATGCAATACGATTACTTTATCAGAAACTACAAAGACCATGAGTCTTCACAGCTTACAGTGTTAAAACTTGCATAGTTTTCCGTAATTACTTAGGTAATAAATGTATCATAGTTCCCAAATAGTTATATATAATGTAAGACGAGCACACGACCTTTGTGAGGTAGTAGACCGTCATGCCCTCACGGCCCTCGTGTCGCTGCCCCCTGGCCAGCCCGAGGTGTATGAGAGCGTCGGCCAGGAGGAAGGGGCTCGTAATTCTCGTCTGCTCCACAGCCACGCGCTTGCTCGTGTGCAGTGCCAGCACGTAGCCAGGATACGACTCGGCACTGGCGTAGCCTGGCACACAAAAATTAAAATATTACAAATACCGTAGCGTAGAAGATTCTACCGTCAATGACACATAAATTCACTACGCAACTGCACTTAGCTACTGTTAATAAAAACGTATAATAAAGGTTAGAATTACGATTAGTAGGGTTCAATTACCATATAATAACTAAGAAGACATTTTATCGAGCTAGGATGTTGTGGCTCAGTTGTATCAACAAAATAGATCTTTTCTTTTGAAGGCTGACGACATAAGTGCTGTGGCGAAGTTAGAGGCATTAATGGTAGTTAAGTAGAAAATATAATTGGGAAAAAAAATAAGAGATTCATTGCATTCTACGTGCTAAATTAGTATTAATTAGTTATGTTATAGTCACTAAATAAGAGCAGGAATAGATGAACGAAATATTCGATGAAAAGAAACTAAAAGTCGCTAGTGAATAGCGGAGTTGCTAACTCTAAAACTTTCAAACTATTTCTAATAGTATGGCGCCTGGTCATTAACTGCTCTTCAAATAAATATACGGACTCACTCGAGAACGAGTTTTATTCAGACGAAGGTCATACTTTGTTCAGATTGTCTGGTAAGGGAAGTAGAGCTTGTGGCCATACTTACTGGTATGCCAGTGGTTGAAGGCGAGACAGAGGACGTAGTATCGCCCAGGCTCCATCATGGCACTGCAGCCCACGAAGCCTCGCACCTGACGACGTGAGTGATGCACCACAGCACCCAGCACCGGTGGTCCTGCTGAACCCCCGCTCACCTCCCCGGCACGGAACACCACGATGCACAGGTCAAGGAGCGACCGAGACGCCGAGCCCGAGTTTCTGAAATCATCATATAATCTTCAGAGATCGCAAGGCTAGGTTCATCATAAACGCTAATACGTGATTGGCAAAAAAGATGGAAACATGACATTGGGTTATTGATACCAAACTTGAGAAAAAAAATTGCAGCGATAAGCGAGACAGCATTGATTTCAAGTAATTAAAAAATAAGAATTTAATGAACAAATCTCAAACCTCGATTCCAAACTATGGATTAAGGTGGAAGTGGACGAGAAAAACGTCGAAGACCTTCGTTTATTTTTCTGTGACGAAAGCTAAAATCCATTGGATTACCTGTGTCCGTCTTGGAAGAGTGAGAACTCGACTTCAGTGTGATCCAGCACGGTAAGGAGCGTGGGGCAGAGCACTGAGGTGTCCACACACGGCGGCAAACTGCCAACCAGACGCAGCTCGCACCACCCACTCACAACCTTGCAAATGTCAATGCAGTCAAAGTACTTCAAGACATCGTTGAAAGCAATCCAGAAGATTCCCTCCTGGCCTCCATTGGGCAGAAGTCTTGTCCTGAGAGCTGGCGTCCACTTGTCACTGTGGTCGCTCCAGTCGCCACGCCACGAGTAATGCCCCCACGGATTGCGTAGTCGCAGAAGACGGAAGCCATCAACGTCCTGCACGTCCAGCACTGAGTACGCATGTCTGGGACGCAGTCCAACGCTCTTATATTCTTCTTCTACAACTCTCATGTTACCACCTCCGCACGAAGCTCCCATTAAAAAGCCTGCAGTGCGTGAGCTCAAAAGCTGCGCCCAGATAAGCTCGCTGTCGACCGCTTCTTCTTGAGGCGATGATGAAGGTTGAAGCGGGATGCTTTCACACGGAGCGCCAGTAAGGGTAGCAAGCCCTTCAATACTTCGGCCTGAGACAAGCGCTTCATAACAACCATGCACCTTCGCCACAGCTTTCTCTATTAGAGGCACCCACAATTGACGACGCTGTGTTTGCGAGTACACGAGGTGTCGACGCGAGTCACACGGTAGCAGGTCATCAACAAGCACCGTCACCCACCGTCCACTACGACACAGTCGGATTTGATAGACGCCCTCTGGGCACAGCTCTTTGGTAACCATAATCTTGCGCACGAGATCATCACGTTCTGCGAGCACAGATAAAGCACTAAGCAACCAGCAGTTACCAAGCACACCTTGGGAAATATCAGAAGGAAGTGGCGTTCGAAAGACGACCCAAGGCTTGTGGCCAATGCTTGCGTCGTCTTCAGTGAGAATCTGATGCGGTCGTAGCCATTGGGTGACCCTATTATCTGCGGCCATACCTCCACCTCCATTGCTATAATACAAGGACCGAGCGATGGGTGGGAAGGAGTCATCCACGAAGGGATGCTTGTGCTTCCTACAGTACTGAACGATCCTTTTCCAAGACACGAGTGCCTCATGCTCCTCCATCTCTCGCAAGACCTCCACCAGCTCCGAGTAGCTGCTGCCGCCGCTTCCTGCGGTGCTGCTTGCACTGCTGCCTGTAGCACATTTCCGGGATCATAATAATTAATTTTGACATAACATATCCAAATCACTTATTTAAACAATCAAAGGCCAAATATTAAGCACTTTTAATTTTTAAAAATGGTAAATTAACATCTTCTATAAGAGACATACCTGGTCTAGAAACGTTGGCCACGATGTCGTCGAGCGTGGGAGAAGAGCCGCACATGGCGCAGGACACAGCGCTGCTGCTGTTCAGGTACGTGCACGCGGAGCACGTCCAAGACCCGCGCTTGTGGGGCACCTCAGGCAGGCGTCTGGGCCGCTCTACTCGGCACACTTCAGTTGAAGACGAGGTGTCCATGGCTTGATGTTCAGCGACTTTGTTGCGCCCCAATGAAAGATTTTCGGAACAAGACGAGGATTTAGTAAGTTCAGCACCAGCAATGCGTGAGTGAGGAACGTCACGGTTATTCCCACCTCCTACCTGGTCACGCCTTCGCTGAGCATCGCTTCCAACATCATCGAAAGATTGACTGCTCCTTAGAATACTAGCTGATTTTTCGCGTTTGGGATATGGCTGTGGTTGATCAGTGTCAGGTATGATGCAAACTGCAGCCACGCTTGCACCTGAAATCTCCCCACTGCCCTCCATTTTGTCTCTTGTTCCGATTGAACCGTCAACACGAGCCTTGCAAGCTTTACAACGTCTCGAGGAGAGCGCGTTCTTAAGAGTGCAGACAACGCAGGTCCAGAACTCACCTCGCTTGAGTGTCTGTTCATCCAAATGACTGAGGCTCTTAAGACGCGAGCCATCGCACGCTTTGCATGCATTTGATGAGCCTGAGTTAAGCAATGTGCACTTGACGCAACTCCACGGCTGATCAGGCGAATAGTTAGGCATTGACTGGCCTAAATTTGCAGGGAGAATTTGAAAGTCATCATCTAAATTCTGCTCCAGTACTTCTCGAGTCCTGTCATTGACGTTATTCTTAAAACTATTACACATATCACAGAACTTTGACCACTTAGGATTATAGGTGTATGAACATTTTGCACAAGTCCACATTTGCTTGAGAGCCAAAGTGTCATCATCACAGCTGGAGTCCTTCTCTCTGAGAGGGCTTCTCAAATCTATTAAGGGTACATCTCTAGACACGTTGACTTTGGAACTGGAGGACTTGGCGTGACTTTTTATTTTTCTGGGAGGTGTGTTGTCAGATTGTGCAGGCTTTCTGGATATAGAACACGCAGAACACGTATTAGTCGAATGCAAATTATTGAAAGAGCACCAATCACATTGCCAACCAAAAGTTTTAAGGGATTTTTCTCGCTTGGATTTTTTCTGGTCCTCCACTTCATTTAAATTTTTAATACTTGATATCTCGCGGGCAGGAGACCGCGCTTCAGTGTTCTTGGCATTGTCATCAAGACGTGATGATGAGACATTGCCTAAAGAATCAATAGCAGTCACTCTGTTGTCTTTGCCCAGGAAATAAAGGTTGTTTTCGACCATGAGAGGCCGCTCCACCTCCTCCACAGGTGGCATGGCATTATCCAAGCCATTCTTTGCACTAGCACCTAAGCTACAAGTTTCTAAGCCACTGCTATTTAAATTATTAAGATTTGTTGGTCTATTTTTGTTCAGCTCCATGTCAGCATTACCATCGTTTTGAATGCTACAAGGAAATTTCACACATGAGGAGCACCTAGCACTGTGTCGTGAGTTATAGTGCCGACACTTCTTGCACTTCCAGCTCAAGCGCGAGATGTCATGAACAATAACTGTTGGTGGAGGTGTTAACAGTTGCTCCACATCCTCTTCTTCTGAACTGACACATGGCCTCTCACGCCGGCGTTCTAAATCTCTACTCAAAATATCAGGGTTTTGAGAGTGGATTCTATTCTCTAATTTTGTTATTTGCAAATCAGTAGCAGTTTGGTGGCGCAGCAAAGGCTTGTCAGTGTCACTGGGCCAATACTTATAACTCTTCAAGTTGGCTGGACTGAGCGCATTGCGCGGCAAGAGGACAACAGACGGGCTTGAGGTGCTGCAACTTGCGTCGCAGATGAGACAGTCAGGTGCGTGGTGTACGTTCCTGAACCTAGCGCATGGTAGAGAACGGTAGCTTCATGAATAACATTGATTAAAACATAGAAACATTAAGAACATCAAGGTAATATCCCGAAATGGGAAGTATCGTGAATACGTGCTCCATGAGCCCTTTTATATACAAATTTCCAAGATCAGATTTCCAACACAAATACAAACTTTAACAAATATATAATACATATGAAAGACTTGATACGGCAATTAATGAATAACAGACTACTTGAGATAGCATTAGAAATACTCACTAATACTCAAATACACAAAGAGCATCATAACTCACCATTATTAAGGAAGAAGACATCATGCAGCAAGAATTTGAGGAGACAGCTTAGAACACTACAGCACACAAGCGCAGCATTCCACGTGTACTGTAGGTCATAATTAAATGGCATGCAAGGGCGGCAATCTACACAGCATTTATGTCAACATTGACTTCCATAATCTAATGTGACAATGTATGCTCCTCAGAAGTTTACGAGCATAACAAGCTTGAGGCATTTATGTACCAACAGATAGGGTTGTGCAAAACTTCATGAAAATTTAGAAAGGTGTCCAATGCTAGAATACAAAATGAAGTAAAGTTCTTCTACAATATTGTAGTAATTGAGGAAGGAGCTTAAAGAAGCATTTGGCACAGAAATTAATGATGTAACAAAAAGAAACTAACCAGTTAATAACTGAGCAGTAAAATTTACACCAAGTTAGAGAAATGCCTATGGACTATTAGAAATTTTCAACTTGTGTACGTACCTAAGTACATATTTTAAAATAAGTTTTGGTATGAATTATTCTATGAAATTAGGAAAAAACTTAATCAAAAGTTAAATCAGAATTCAACATGAATGCTGTGGCATTTAGATGAGAAAAAATAAAAATAAATACAATGCTGATAAACATATTTCTAAGACAAAAATATACAAGACAGCAACTTCTCTAATCAGCAAGAAAATTTGAAGGTGCACTGCACTGACTGGCAGGAGTTGCAGACCCAGGATGCAGCTAAGAAGCCAGCCCTGTGACACCCCTTGTCAGTGAAGGTCTTGCTGTTGAGTTGATCTTTGAATTGGCTTCCTGGAGTTGGGCTTGACAACTGCACAGCAAGAAACTTGGAAGTCAATAGTTCTTGTCATGGTTCCATAGCCAAAACCAATTGATGAGATCAGACATTGAAGCACATAATTAGTGATAAGCTTTGGCAACAAAAATTACATTCAATATTTCAACTACCGAATACCACCCTTTGTATTGAATTAATATGCTAAGGAATTTGGATCATTTTCACTTGTAAGAAAGAAGCTGTTTCTCAGCCCATGGTTACTGATGGCATTCCATGTTACCAAACAATTAAGTAGAAATATTATAGCCAAATGCTCAGAGTATTATAAACAATGGATTAAAGCATACATACTGAGTACGTACCTAGGTAGTCATTCTTCTGACCAGAGCAGAGAAACTGACCCTTACCTGGCTAGTCAATGCTCTCTTGACTCTTGACAAGGAAGAAGAAATTTGATCACCAGCATCCAAGTGAGATGAAAATCCAGCAGTTGGTAGTAGTAAATCACCACTGATCTTGAACTTATTCAATTCCTTCCCTGATATTCCATGGCACACTTGTTCCAAATCAACAGCCTGATGCACAGGTGAGGACTTGGATGAGTGACAGTCCAGCAGAGAAGAGTTCAAGGAAGAATCTGCTGAAGGCTTTATTAGAGAATAAGATGGAGATCTGATGCTTGGATAAATGTGTTCCACTAGCGGATTTGATGTAAACAATGGAGAAGAACTCAAGAAGATTGACTCATCACATAAAGGGATGTAATTCAATGTCATGTCATGATGAACTTTTTCAGGAAAACCAAGACTATCATCAGAATAACTGTTATCTAGACAACTGATACCAGGCTTTAGAAGCTTTGATTTATTCCTTGAAATATTAGTTCTTTTTCTAATTTTCGGTCTAACTGAGAGTTCAGTTTTGACAATGACATTTATGTCTAGTTCTTGTTCCAGAGAAGGGTCATGACAGTCAAAAGCAGCCTCAGAGTCACTTGGAATGCTGCTCTCCCAATCGGTGTCAGCATTTGTGCCACTGCTTGAGATGCTATTTACTAAATCACAGTAGCTTATTTTGGGCCTCACAGATATGTCATAAATATCAGCACTTTGGCTTATATGTAAATCATAGTCAACATGACTAGATCTATTGTCTGTACAGTTTACTTTATTGTTAGCTATAGTACAGTCTTTGTCAAGCTTATTATTTTTATTGTGTGTAATAGGAGAAATCTCACTACTACTGCTGTCTAAGCAGGCACTGGCACATGTAGTTTTATTGAAGTCTTTTATATTCACAATTGGTTCTTCAGTAGAAAATTCATTTTGACTAGAGATTGTTGGCTGTTGGATAGTAGATTTGTCCTCTTTTTCTGTAACTTTTTGGCTAACTTCATGAAAACTTTGGTCCCTGGTAGCTATGCTACTATAGCGCTTTGGAGGAACTGGAGGCTCATCTTCAGTGTCACAATCAGCTGATGGAACAATACCAGCATCAGACTTCAACTGGAAATGATTATTTGCCTTCAGTTTCCTACCATCAGATCCAGAAGAATTGTTGATCTCACACTTAAGGTTTTCAATTGCTTGGATGGGTGGCTTAAGATAATCAAATTTCCAGTTACTTGTTATCTTCTGATATATTTTACTACACACAATACTACTGTGCCTTACAGGAGGGGGTGGGGGAGTATCATCATCATCAATGGCAATACAGGAAGCCGAATCACCAGCTTTCTGACATTTTCCATCAGATCTTGGACTGCAGCTGGAAAGATCACTATAAGTTTCTTTTAAAATTTGTTTCTCAGGTTTCAACACAGCATAAATGGGTTGCTCAGAACTTCTGGCACTTTCCTTGATACCAATGCAGGAAGCTGGTTTAAGTTTACTCTTGCATCCTTTAATGTCAGAATATTGTTTACATTCTGATGGTTCTGAAGAATTGAATATTTGACTGGAAGAGTGCAAAAGAGCTTGTGCTGGTGCAACCTCAGAAGATTCAGGAGTATTGTTGCAAAAAAAGCTTCCAGTGCTATCACTCTTGGGAATGTGAGAGGGGAAATATGGTTGTATGTATGTCAAATCCTTATCAGATTGTGGATATTGAGTAGACTTCTGAGCAGAAGGATCAGAAATTTGTGATTTCAGTCGCTTTGATTTTTTATTGACACGACTATAGATGGGGAAATCTCCAGGACTAGGTTTTTTACATTTCTCATTATCTAATTTCTTTTCAGATGGTTTGTTTTTGTCCATAACATTACCACCAATGGACTTTCTGAAAAAAATAATAATTACAGTCAAAATTCTACGAGCAATGAGATTATTTATCACACAAAACTAAGATATGCTAACATTTAAACAATTTATCAAATACTGTTAAGAAAAAATTATTACATAAATTTTGGAAATTTACCAGAAATGAATACAATAATAGAAATAATACCTTGAGATTTATGCAACTGAATTCATTTCCTTATTGCAGCCCCATTGTGTAGGTGCAAGCAAGTGAACCATGAATAATCAATCAAAATTTCAACAATACCAGGTAACTTTAAAAATGTTTTTTTCAACTATGTTGAGAAATTGAATGGTAGTTGTAGGAGGAAATAAAAAAAAATCATTTGGAGTTGCTGATAATTTTCTTCAGATAGTACCTAGTGATTTCATCAGGTCACTTGCTTTATTTTGACTTAATTTTCAAAGTTGATTTCTACTCAGAATAAACTAACTTTAATATAAAAAAGTAAATTATTTGTACAAGATGTTTCAAGAAATCCTTTATTAAAACTTGAAATCCTCAATTCTCAGTATGTGTGCTAAGAGACATGTCAATATACTTTCAATGGACTTTAATAAATTTTTTAGTTATTTCTATGGTGGGCAAGTTACCATAGCTTTGAACCAGAAATCTCTGCCCAAAGAAGCCACCATGTTCCATAATTTGTATACGAGGGCACATTATCATACCTACACTCATATGCCAATAGAGCTGATAGGTGATGCAGCAGAGAGGGCCAGGGGAATTTTTTAGTCCAACCAATGGCAAAATTTATCTGTAAGGGGAAAATTCAACTATGCCTACATCAGCTCTAGTTTATTTACTAATTAAGTAAATAAAATGAAGTACAAGTAAATTAAGTAATAATTTGAATACATATATAATCAAGGACAAGATATAAATCTAGATTCATAGCAGGTTTATTGATTGCACACAACCACACTAAGGGTTGTAAAAATTAACCAACTAGTACCACTAGTATAATTATATATATTTCATGTAACTATCCTACTGGAAAATGTATCTACTATGAATGTACTATTAATGTAGATGCATATCTTTTCTGTATTTGTTATAAATTTTATGACTGATGATTATAAGGATATGGTAATTGATTGGAGTTGATAATCAAATCAAGTAAATTGAAAAGTTATTTATTTTTCATTGCATTATTTTGGTTGCAATACAAAAGAAAATAGGAAGAATGGAACTGATTATGCAATTGCTTTTATCGCAAGCTCATCTCTATATAGTGAGGCTTGCCTATAAGAATTTTAGTCTGAAAAATGGATGATATTGAGACATAATAACCGATGTAAGAGTCACATTCTCTGGCTGAGGAGGGCAAATAAATACAAACACATGAGCAGCATTTCATATGAATTGTGTAAGAAATTTGATTAAACATATTCATTTTATGCAGTTGCATACATTGAGCATGCAAACATTTATGATGAGTGGCGATGACAAAATTGACTCATATTTTTATTTACAATCTGATGTTTACTATAATTACTTTCCTTAGATGGATAGATTTTCAGAGAAATTGTGAGAATGAAAATTAGCAAAGATGGGAACTAAAAGAAACTCTAAGGATATTCAAAGAAGTGCAAGGAAGATAAGACAGAACAAAGTAGCCATTCAAAGCAACTCTCACCTGTTGCAATGCAATGTAAACAATGCCACAAGGACAAAGGAGTCAGATATACTTGGTGGCAAGGCAACAATGGGAAGTAGAGTGAACTTGTACAATTATGCAATAGAATGTGTTAGTGAAGCATTCAAACTTCAAAGTGACACAATAAATGAAATAAGGTTGCTAAAGAATGTTTTATAATATTTAACAATTGTACTGTAGCAAGTAATAAACTTTCTGCTGCTCTACTTCCACAAAAATCATCACCAAAGATTTAAGAATGTTGCCAAATGCATTGTCTATTCCTTGCTACATAAGAATCCAGCTGTCAACTTTTGTACAGTCTAGGAATATTTCAATGAAATGTGGGAATGACGATGTACATATCACATTATTCTGCAAATGCATGAACTTTGGTTGACAGAAATTTTGCTGCTGATGCATCTCCAATCCAAAAATCTTCAGATCTTCAATAAGAAATAAACTTAGTCTAAAAAATTCTTTGTTTTCTAAGAGGTATTGTTATGTTGTTAGCAAACTTGTTATGTTGCAATTGAACCATACAAATCATAATACCTATTGACCAATATTATAGGGTTTTTATAAACTTACAGTACAATCAATGCAGACTGTGCTGTATCTGCAAAATGTCAACTTATGTGTCATCTGACAGTAGGGTAAATGCACCATATTTCGACACTGTGGGTGGACGATGTGGGAATGACGATGTACATATCACATTATTCTGCAAATGCATGAACTTTGGTTGACAGAAATTTTGCTGCTGATGCATCTCCAATCCAAAAATCTTCAGATCTTCAATAAGAAATAAACTTAGTCTAAAAAATTCTTTGTTTTCTAAGAGGTATTGTTATGTTGTTAGCAAACTTGTTATGTTGCAATTGAACCATACAAATCAGAATACCTATTGACCAATATTATAGGGTTTTTATAAACTTACAGTACAATCAATGCAGACTGTGCTGTATCTGCAAAATGTCAACTTATGTGTCATCTGACAGTAGGGTAAATGCACCATATTTCGACACTGTGGGTAATTCCTACACCCCTCAACTTTTTCCTTTATATTAAGCTTGGTCTTAGTTCCACTTCCACGCATGCATAGATGGTTGAAATAGTGACATGACTGACATCATACAATTGCGCGCCAGATTTCCGCATAACACTAGGTCTAGTGGGAAAATTTTAAGATCCGCAGAACAAAAGTCCAAGTCAACTACAGTGAGAACATCGAAATATGTATCAAAGTTGATAGTTGACCTTGCTTTACTAAATAGTGATAAACTGTTTGTGTAGAAAGAATATTATGGTTTGAGACTTTTAAATAAGTGTGTGAATATATTAGGAATCCTTTAAGTATAGGTACTTGTATTTGCTGATTTCAAGTGGTAAATAAATTAATAGATGATTGATTTAAGAGACGGTTTCAGAATAGATAGATGATTGATTTAAGAGACGGTTGAACGGTTCTAAAAACTAATTCCAACACGGTGTCAGAATTACAACACACAGCCATGACACGGGGTGTCATATTCTGACACAGCTCACACAGGGTGTCGGAATTACAAATTACGATTTTGAAGCGCTGTGGGAATTAGTCTCTCAATATGCCACATTTAGTCACACACAGCGTTGGAATTCAGTGATTTTGTAGATTTGAATTCTAAAGGCTTTTAAATAAATATGGCAACAGTTTGTGATGTTTCATCATTGCTGGCACGTAGTGTGGTGTTTTGAGAGTGACATAAACCAATCAGAACTTGAGTTGTGCATACGGTGATCTATTTATAGCCATTTATTTCTTGCTACATCCTCAAGGTGTCAGAATATGGTGTAGTAGTAGTAGTAGTAGTAGTAGAATGGTTTGCTAGCACTTCAGCTATCAAGCTATTTCGCGTTGGACATGGAACTTCCATTCAAGAAACATTAACCGGTGACTTATAGTGTTATTTAATAACTAACAGCCCACTGCCAGCACACAAGTACACAACTGGCACAAGATAGGTAGCTAACTTCTAGGCTTATGCCCTCTGGGCCTATGACAAGTTCTAAAATTCTAATCTTGCAATAAAAGTGTGATTAATGTTATAATATTTCCTTTGTCAGTTTGTCTATGGGCTATGGCCATTGGCCAGTAAATATGAATTTCACGTTTATCAATTTTTTCGAAAAATGGGATAAAACGTGCATAAAAAAGACTAAGGGGAAAATGAGAAAAATTATCATCAAATTTTTAGGTATGGTCCTTACAAACTGAATGATATGTGTCACGATGTTGTAGGATGATATTTGTAGGAGGAGATAGATTTTCTAAAGTACCCATTTTTAGTCGTTTTCTATGAATTTCACGTTTATCAATTTTTTCGAAAAATTCATAACAGCAAAATGTTCTTATTTTTACATTTTACGTATGTGAGTTTTTCCGGAGGGTAGCCGGTCCCCTTAAATAAATATGGCAACAGTTTGTGATGTTTCATCATTGCTGGCACGTAGTGTGGTGTTTTGAGAGTGACGTAAACCAATCAGAAATTGAGATGCGCATACGGTGATCTATTTATAGCCATTTATTTCTTGCTACATCCTCAAGGTGTCAGAATATGGTGTAGTAGTAGACTAGTAGTAGTAGTAGAATGATTTGCTAGTGCTTCAGCTATCAAGCTATTTCGCGCCGGAGGTCAAAATGTAACATCGCCAGAAGGCATAAGGTCTCAATTATTCTAAGTCTCAAATTATTCATCACCCACAAGGAGCGGAAGGTCTCAGTTGTCCAGCCCACTGAAGCCGGCTTGAGAGAAGCAGCGTTATCATCTCAAAGAGACGAAGTGACAAGGAGGGACAGGTGAAAAGCAACAGAAACTAAGACACTCAAACAAGAGGTTGCTTATACGGGACGTTGGCCGCCCGCACGAGAGAGACAGAGGAGGGAAATGAAAGGAATCCTACCTACATTATAACTTAACCCCACAACTGAGACCAATGGTCAGACACCAGGAGCTCAGCGAGTCAGCGGTGGGGCGCTCAGGAACAATCCCCTAGGAGCACAAAATCCCATAGGACTTCTGACGAGCACAGACACACGTCAGAAGTCCCCCCTGAGGGGCGGAATATGGTGTGTTTGATGTTTACCCTAGATGAATTATCTACTAGTATTACCTAATAGCTAAAAAGAGTATATACATGAATAAGCTGCAAGATATCTAACATAGAAATTCTAAGACCTAAGTTATCAAAAATGTAACTTTATATCCACAAAATTTGAAAATTTCAGTATTAGGTAGCCTACCTTAGGCTACCTACTGCTACAGTCAACTTGTCAAGTGTCAATCAGGATTAAAATTTTCCTACTTGTTACTGAAATCTTGCATCTACAAAACAAGGTGACAAATTTTCAATAAATTTGGAATCTTGCATTGCAGGAATGATGAATGCAGGACAGTTGCAGGTCAAAAATGAAAAATAGTATAGCTAAGAGGCTTGACGCTTGAGAGCTCTAATCAGAGCTCAAAGTCAAATGTTAATGTTTTTTTACAATAGCTGTAGCCAGCCTGTTAATGCCAATAACTTTTTTTATGATATTAATATTAAATATATATGTTGATATTTTTTACAAAATTTTGAACTGGATTACTAGGCCTAGCATGGTGCAATTCTATAGGTTATTCAAAAGAACCTGGTCTTATGTCATTTTGAACCGATCGACACTTCTTTACGGACTGAGGACCGATCATGTAACACAACCTTACCCGGCAAAAGCTTTCTTGCTTCTGAAGAAAGGGGCGGTTCGTCAGCTGAGCTGAATCTCTTAAAGTGTTCCAGCAACATATTTTCCATTACTAATTTTTTAAATGTATTGACTTGTGTTGCAGTGAGATATTGAATTGTTTGAATTCCAAACAAAGGTGGCATGCCCGTATTCAGATGCCAGCGCTAGCAGCAGCCATCAAATGAACTACTTTATTGTTAGTATCTTCACTAATAATTTATTAATATTGTATTCTGCTTAGGTACAGTCTCTCAAAATGTTCCAGAAAAACTTTTCTATTACCAATTATTAACATTTATTTGTTTGTGGTGCAGCGAAATATTGCTTTTTTTTGTCTCCACGTGTTCTTGTGTGTGACGTCACCATGGGACGACATATGTCACCATTTGTGACGTATGTAAACATATGGCTAGCGTGAAGATGGGAGTCCAGTTTGGCATTGAAATGGATGGTTATTTGTGAATAATATTTTCGATTGTGATATTATAACATATTTCTGATTGTGAAATAATTTTGATTGTGATTTTGACACTTGACAGATATTCAACATTTGAATATCAAAGTTCTAACATCATGAATTACGAGGTAAGAGTGTAAGGACTTAGCAAAGCTAGAATCATGGCTGAGGCTTAACCAATGTGGCGATGTCATTGTAATTTTTTACGTCATTGATATCATTGTGGAACCAACGTAAGTAACTAAGGAATTTCCCAGTCCACATATTTATTGATTTATTACTATCAATTTCGAAACTCCACATATTTCTAAAGGGAGTTGTGATGAGACCATGGGGATGGGGTCGAACTGTTGAGTTTAGACCATTACAACTTGCAAGAGGGGCCCAAGGGCCAAGGGCATGGGGCCTTGCAAAGGGTTAAGACCGCCGCACGGCTGTGGACCGATAAGTACTCACAATAATTCCCTGCCACCATGAGGCCTAGGTACTAGCCCACTACTAGGTAGTCCAATTTTGACTGAAGTTTAGCTTGCGTGGGCATTCACTAGGAATTTTTGACTGAACTAAGTATGAAAAAATTCCCTCATTTGCCACTAAAGATTATTGTTATTTATTGTGTCATTTGTGTGGGCTGTTATAGTGTTATACTGTTATTTAATAAATAACAGTCCAGTGAGCCCACAGCACACAAGTACCTACACAACTGGCACAAGATAGATTACCTAGCTAACTTCTAGGCCTATGGAAAGTTCTAAAATTCTAATCTTGCAATAAAAGTGTGATTAATGTCATTACTAGTATTATTTATTAGTAGTATAGTAATATTTCCTTTGTCTATGGCCATTGGCCAGTCAGTAACATTATAATACATGAATCTACAGTACCTAAAGTAGGTATGTGCACAAAGTACTCTCGAATGTAAACAATGCTGGCAAAATGGCGGACAGCCACTTTCCGCATCGGCGCGCGTAAGGTATTTAATTTTGAAAGTCCCGCCAAAATGTTAGCTTAATTTGATTGACTTTTGTTTGGAAACAAACTATAAAAACTTGAACTATGACGACATCATTTTTTTTTTCGAGAAATGTCTATCAAGTACCTGCTTAGCTGGGATGTGCAAGAGGTAACATTTGGGCGGGAAATAAACATGGATATCGTATTTTGAAATTAATGAAAGATAATTTGAAATCAAGATTATAGTTTTTAGAGCATGCTCTCGAAATTTCAGAGCTTTACAGCCATTCGGACAGTTTTTCTACCATGTCCTGTCATGCTGTTTACGTTCAGTTCAGTCATGAACCAGTGACGAGTGAGGTACGCTGGTCCTGAACTACTGCCGAGACTGAGACATGAGATGATTTGAAATCAAGATTATAGTTTTTAGAGCATGCATTAAATTAAAAACATCAATTCTACACAGGTAAATTTCTGCTTTTACTAGTTCTTAGGCATAATCACAAAGCAAGAAACGGACCCAGGACGTTGAATTGCCTTAAGTTACATTGAATTTATGCAATCACACATCAAAAGTCAATCACCTGACCTGACACTACCACTGTCTACCAGTCCTGCAGTCCAGAGAGCCCAGACTAACCACTATTAGACGAGCCACACGGCCGCACTACCAAGCTCTTTTCGGTACTCGAGGATAATAAAACTAGAATTTCACAATTGCTGTCAGTTACTATAGTTACAGTGCAAAATGTTATCCTAGGAAATATTTCCATCTCCCGTACTAATAAGTTGACCGTAATCATATACCATATCAGCTAATTCAATAATTTCGACTGAATGTGATAAATATCAAAAACCTCCCCCATCATGTAGATCCCTAAACCTCTCCAATTCCTAAATTATTCCACAGAAAATAGGGAGAGAGTTTCAGTTTTGCGATGCATTTGCAACTAATCATAGGCAAGCTTTTATTGGTACCATAGCGTTAGCTACCCTTTAATATCAACCATCAGCATACATGTTGACGTTATTTCCAATATTAAAAGTCGTTTATTCCAGCTAATTTGCTTGATTTTAAATTTTATTCTAATGAGGAGAAGTATCGCTTCATGCGTACAGTTTGTGGCGATTTATAATTTTTTTTGCATAATCGTCTATGTTTCAAAAGCTATGATCAACAATTTACTCACTATGACTGACCAATAACATTACCAAGTCATCTAAAAACCCCCAATATCTTTATCTGAATCATTTCAGCTTTCTCTTGAACAGCGTTGAATGCCGAAACGCTTATGGTTCTGACACACCATATTGCTTGTGGGAATGAGTCGAAATTTTCGCACCATCATATAACCTATTTAGGCAAGAAAGCTATTTAAAATTTTTGATCCATGTTAAATCTAACTCTTGAGATTAAGGCTCACTACCATCAGGTCATACCCAGGTGGCGCTGAGCTCCATTAAGAAGCTTCTGCCAGATTATTCACTATATCATTCTAAGTGAAGTGCCAATTATCGTTATTATAAAGTTAATAACACCCTGAGCACAATTTACTTGGGGTTCTACGCAGGAGAGCAAAAATAGGCATAACAAACTCGTTAATTTCTATTCCAGACCATCGCTCATATTTACAGTGAAGGAAAGATTAAAAATTACGATGCTGGTACGATTTGATCGTAACAAAAACTATTATCGATGACTATCGCTGCATGAAGTTAAAGCCAAATTGACAGGCCAGAGATGGTCAAATGCGGCAGATGAGACTTATCGCAGAATGGATTTGACACGCCTGTGGCTGTAATCCTGAGATGATGTTTCCATGGTGAAACGTACAAATAAATATAACTCAATATTCCTTGATATCACAGGGGCTTCTATCTCGACTAACTATCATCAGAATAAATCATTCAAGGACTTACTTATTGACCTTCGTACCAGGACCTACTTACTAGAACAATCATATTAATTAATTACTACTTTACTAGTAAAATCGTAACAGGACTTCACTAATCATACATATAATCTCACCATGTAGCCATGCGCAGGCCCGGTGGAGACTGGGAGCGCAGCTTAGTACCTTTGATGGCCTCTAATATTGAAAGAGTGGCAGACATTTCTTCGGGGATATCTGGCCATTCGTAAATTTGTTAATACGAAAGCTTTAGTAACGGTTATTTCCATAATGATATATTAGCTAAATTTCGAAAGCTTCATTTGTCTCGTAAAATATTGCAGCTAGTGGATGCTAAAAATTGTATTATATAATGATGATTAATTTCATTAATTATTGCGGATATTATTGGCAATGTTTTATACACGAAAACTCATTTATATTATTGTGATATAACTCCAGAGCGTGAAAGTATTCTAGCTTTTCATATGTATGAGTAGAAAAGAATAATGTGATACGTACATCGTCATTCCCGCATTCCATTGAAATATTCCTAGACTGTACAAAAGTTGACAGCTGGATTCTTACGTAGCAAGGAATAGGAAACAAGTTTTTAAGTGATCGGTGAAATACAGGACGCCGCGTTGGGCGACGGGGTCCGGATAGGCAATATAACTAATGCAGCATCAAAGCGACCCTGGATCCGGCCCTGCCTTGCGCCCGCCATTCGACGGGAAACGAAAACTCGGGGAATGTCGGGTAAATGTCTCGCGATACTGCGAGAGTTTCTCTCTATGTCCCTTGCTATTAATCAAGCTATGCTGCAAAAATAACTGCCCACATTCTATATATTTTTGTGACCTTTTAATGAATTCAAACCACCTAAAGAGTCAAAGCAGTAACTTTGCGCTTCAACTGAATTTATCACACGAGTACATTACATGCCAAGCAGACTCAGAATTATTCAATTAATCATAGAGCAATATTTAGAGCGGGATGAGTCACGGGATGAGGTGCGTGGAGTGGCAGGGGGATGAGTCACGGGATGAGGTGCATGGAGGGGCAGGGGGATGAGTCACGGGATGAGGTGCATGGAGGGGCAGGGGGATGAGTCACGGGATGAGGTGCATGGAGGGGCAGGGTACCCAGAGCGCCACGGGATGAGGTGCATGGAGGGGCTGGGTACCAAGAGCGTCACGGGATGAGGTGCATGGAGGGGCTGGGTACCAAGAGCGTCACGGGATGAGGTGCTCGGGAGGGCTGGGCCCCGGTAGGTCATCATTCGCGCCGCGCCCGGCGTGCGGTGCGGTCGGGTGTTGCTGCGCTGCCGGACTGCGGCGCTTCAGCCACGAAGCAACCGCAGTAATTTGACGCTTACCCTGCATCATCAGAAGTCCTTCAAACGTACAATTCGTCCCGAGAACCTATCGTACGGGTGAAACTTTCTTCAGCAAAGCCATGTTAATGTTTGGTCTGTCACATATTTCGAGAATTTTGTGCCTCAATTACATTTTATGGAGTAGCGTCATTTGAATTCTAGTCCCTTATTAACGAAATTGGTAGAATAATATAACATATTTGAGTCTGATATAAAGGATCGTTAAACTTTTTGCGGGCAAATGTAAAAGTTATTTGAAATTTTTACGTTCGAATACGATATGACCACTTTAACCGATTCAACTGTAGATGTCATAATCAACGATTCAAGTTGAAGGGCATGCTGATGATCACGATCGCAATATAACAGCTTCACTATTTAAAGTGTATTCAATGAATCTTCGTTCATAGCTCTCTACCAATTTACAGCAATTAAATCTAATTATATTGATAAAACCCGACTACATTGTAGCAGCCTATCATACATTGTTACTCCTGCCGCTTTCTATCGATCCATTTTCATCGTTATAATTAATTTCAAATTGAATACTCTGTTTACTTTTCCATGCAACCTTAACTTTTCCATACTTCCAAGGTTTTAAATTAATTTTTATACTCCAAAAAAAATTATACCCCAAGAAAAACCATGTTAAAATTGCAAAAAAAAAACGCAGAGTTATTTATGAGCTATTTGATGCAGTTGGATGCAATAAAAAAATTGAGTCGTCTCTATAGCGCATCATTGTTTCTTATGTGAGGAATGCTATTTGTCTTAACTCTCTATCAATTTTCAGTATATTTACTAGAATTCCCGATTCATCCCCAAACCTGTTTTATTAAAATTCTGAGTTTTGTTGTTGAAATTCAGTTGTTATAATTTACAAAGATGCACATCGATTTCTCTGTAGTTCGTCTATTCATTCATACATGAGGGCTGAAATTGCGTACATCGGTAAATTGTGGTTAAAATCCTTCACTTGAATTTGCTTTCCTTCACAACATCGAAAATATATCGTTATAAATTTTCAGTATTTGGTAACAGATTAACAGTATTTAGTTAAGTTTACAAGATAATTTTACTGCAAAATTACGTATTAATTATCCTCTTGACCAGTCTGACATTCTATTTGTGATTGGCTTTACTTTTTAAAATTTTTTTGGTGAATTCATTTACTAACCTCTAATTGAGCCATTCAATGATTCCTAATTATCAACAGAAAACTGAGAAGAAAGCTTTTCTTAAGTTGCTATTCATCATCCAAAACCGTCAACATCGATTGACAAGAACGTACGGGCCCAGTGAAAATTTACAGACGCGGCAGCTTCTGATTTGGATTACCAGAAGCTGGGGCGACTCTAAATTTTGTTAGGGGGGCTTTGCGATAAAAAGAGCTCCATAGGATTTTTGACAATTCACGTAGAGTTCCATGATTGTCAGCAAGATGTTCAACTGCCCGATAGCTTTCAGTTAAATTAAAGGCGAAAGCTGAATTTTGTTCTGAGTCACCAATATCAGTGTGACTGTTAAAGTANAATAAGTAGGGACCGGGCTCTAAAATAAGTAGGGACCGGGCGCTAAAATAAGTAGGGACCGGGCGCTAAAATAAGTAGGGACCGGGCGCTAAAATAAGTAGGGACCGGGCGCTAAAACGATTAATGAGAACCGAATGCTAAACTTTTGCTTGCAGTCTGGTGTTCATCCGTTTTCTGCCCACTTATGAGGTTTAAACAGGTCTTCTAAAATATTTATTTTGTAGGCATTTACTTTACCATTCGTGTTCCCAAAATACTCTTACATAACAAATAAAAGTATTGCTGTGATCAAAACATATTGCAAATAAGACTTTTTGGGGCTTATAAATCCAAATGTTATCATTTTCATGTGATCGCCACTGCGTTTAAATACAGCAACATCTTCATATGTCTTGAACATATAATTATTGATAGTTATACTGACATCATTTTTTAATCCTAGACGTATGACCAATCGTGGGAATTACTGAGCTCATTAATTCTCGTCTATTGTTGGAATGATTCTTTTAATGAGGAATACAATTATAACAAATCTATTCAACTTGCACGAATGATAAATGAAACACGTTACAACGAAAACCCATATGCAGTCATTTTCAGTTCAAGTATTAAAATATGCTATCTGAAAAAAGATTCTAAATTTGAGACTTCGTTTTCTCAAGTAGTGAGGGAAAAGTCAATTTTGTAAATTATAGTATGCTCATGTTATATAAATAAGTGATTCATAACCGTATTTTCAACATTTTAGATCATAGCAGTAGAGTACATTGCGAAATCACCGATTAATTTTCTTGATGCACAATGTATTGGCGAAAATGAAAATAATTTATGCAGAATTATCCGTATATGTAGGACGTCTGAACAATAAATTGACGGGTTATG